TGAGACGAATGATCTGCTAAGCTCGACGAAAGAGGAAATAGAGGCAGGGGAGAGCTTAGCAAACCACTGTCGGGCAGACCCCTTTAATGTGGTTGGGAATGCCCTGCACATGATTTCGTCTGGTACGTTGTGCAATTGCATCAAGGTCTTGTAAGTGTCGAGGTGGTCCAGTGGATCCTTTGTTCCATCAAAGGTCTCCACAGATGGCATTTTGAACTTCTGAGGGAGGGGGTACTTTGCTACATCAGGTTTGAAAGGCGTATCAGTACGCCTTACCAGGTGGTCAACAGTCTTGGGTCCCTGTGCTTTCATGGCGTTGAAGGCATCACCGAGTTGATTCTGTACCTCCTTTATCTTTTCGTCTCAATGATTGGGGGCTCCTCTGGAATGATCATGGAAGTGGCTTCCATGCTCCATGCTTTGGTTTTCACCCTCATCCTCCTGGAGATAAGGGTCCTCTCCCTGGAAAGCAAGGGGAGGGGGAGGTGCAGCTCCCTCATGTTGGGCTTCCTGAAGTGGGGTGCCCAATGGGGCACCCGGGCGTGGAGCAACAGGGCGTGGTGCTCCTTGATGTCCAGGATGTGGAGCTCCTTGGGGTGCTCTATGTTGTGCACCTCCGTGGGGCCCTCCATGTTGTGCACCTCCGTGTGGTGCTCCACGTTGTGCACCTCCGTGTGGTGCTCCACCTTGGGGTCCTCCATGTTGTGCACCTCCGTGTGGTGCTCCTCCTTGTCCAGCAAGTATGAGTTGCAGTAACTGTTGGTTTTGAGCAACCAGTTGCTGCATGGTCTCCAATATTTGTTGGGGATTCGGGGCTAGAGTATCCGGAACAGGGTTGATAGGCGGGGGAGCAACCTCCTCCTCTCGTGGAGGATTGTCTTCGTGTTGGTTCATGGATCGAGTAGTGATCGCCATTAGTTAATGGATGTAATGTTCAGGAGTGAGAATTTTGTCGAATTCCCATAGACGGCGCCAAACTGATGATGCACAAAAATGGTTTTGCACACCACCTGTCAAGTGTAGGTAATAAATGCAGTGAAATCAATAAAAAAATTAAAGAAGACACGATTTATAGTGGTTCGGTCAATTCGACCTACGTCCACTCTTCAATGGCTTCAGTTGCCGGGTATTTTATTAATTCAGAGGTATGGAGAATAGAGATACAAGCTTTGAGAGAATGAAGAATCAAAGAAAGTGGTCTCCGGTCATCGGTCTATCCTCTGTAAGTGTTGGTAGGGCGTGTCCTCCCTCTTCTACCAGATTGGAGCTACTTTATAGCAGCTAAGAGATCATTCTTGTGGAGATCATGACTTATCCTCAAGGCNCGGAGCTCCCTCATGTTGGGCTTCCCGAAGTGGGGGTGCCCAATGGGGCTCCCGGGCGTGGAGCAACAAGGCGTGGTGCTCCTTGATGTCCAGGACGTGGAGCTCCCTGGGGTGCTCTANTGGAAGGAGGAGGTTGGGGAGTTCTTCATGAAACGTGGTCAAAGATTGGACCGTTTCCTTTGGTGGTGCAGATAAGCTTCCCATGCTCTCCTCTTGGTGACGTGCTAAGCAAGAAGTCCAACCGGCCTTGGGCTCCCTAAGGCGGTGTAGATAAACTTCCCGTGCTCTCCTCTTGGTGACGTGCTAAGCAAGAAGTCTAGCCGGCCTTGGTCTGTCTTGGACTTGGTGGGTTCACGATGAGGTTGGGCTCCTCAACCGGGGTNTGGACTTTAACACATAAATTGGACTATTTGGGGCTTAACCCATCAAAATATGACATACCTACGGGCTAAGCCACAATCGTTGGCTACTTTAAAGGTTTTTTGAAAATTGATACACCTAATTAAACTTATTTGACAAAAAATATATAGAATAAAATGTGAGTAAAAAGACATAAATACCCATTTTAGGGTCATTTAATTTAAAATCTCTTACATTTAATGCATCTTCATTCATATATATTTATTAATACATATAAATACATATTTAATACACTTTTGATTCATATGTATTTGTTAATACATGAATATATATATATATATATATATATATATATAAATATATTTGTTGTTAAATCTCTTATTTAAATTTTGAATTATCTTTAATGCACCTTGATTCATGCGTATTTTTTTTTTGAAAAGTGATTTTGTTTTCAAATTATATTTAATACACCTTGATTCAATCGTTTTTTTTTTTTTGAAAAATAATTTTATTTTTAAATTAATTTAATATATAAATAATGTAATAGTATAACAATAACAGTGTAATAATAACAATATAACAAATACACTGTAACAAAAACAGTTGTCAGTAATTTTGTATATATGGTAACAAAATTCAAAACGAAAATGGACTATTTTGAATTAAATTATATGAAACTATATGTTTGACAAAATGTAATAGTACAATATTTTGTTTAAATAGCTTGTTACACTATTGCACTATTCGAATATTAAATTAATTTAAAAATAAAATCACTTTTCTAAAAAAAAAATGCATGAATTAAGGTGCATTAAAAAATAATTCAAAATTTAGATAAGAGATTTAACAATAAATATATACATACATACATATGTGTGTGTATATATATATATAAATATGTATTTGTATATATATAAAAACATATATATATATATATATATATATATATAAGTTCTCCCATAAAATTAGAAGATGTTTAATGTACCATTTTTCAAAGAAAAATGGTGCATTAAATATACATGGATTAATGGAGGGCAAAAATATCACAATAAAAATAAATAAATTCAAATTATGTACTTGAATATGAATAAATATCAAAATTAAGTATTTAATAACCCTACATTTTTTAGTGTGTACGGAATGTTTGAACTATGAGACCGACAAACAATTTATTATAATAAGTAAAACATATGATTTTTTTTAAATACTAAAAGAATGGTGTCTTCTTTTATTTGAAACTCCTCGGGATCTTCAATCAATTATGCACTTCAATATAATTCTTAAAAATAAGTCTAATAGCATGTTGCCAATACTCAATAACTTGGTCGAACAAAGCTTCTACAATTTTAAAGTCTCTATATTGAATGACCTATTGTGGAAATGAGTTAGTTAACGAGGGAAACTAAGACACCTAAGCAACTAACACAAAGGAGCAAGCGAAAAAAACCCATCATTAATTAAAAATTCGCCTCCATAAGTGGAAAATAGCGCTATTTAGAGCCCTATTTTTAACTCATGTTGTACCTTTATCTATACGTCTTCCCAGAATATAAGATATATTAGGGGGTAATTCGTATCTGAAAGTACAGTACAACGTAAATCAATGTGAATAATTTTAAGAGAGATGTTAGTGGCTGTTGAATAAATCTATCTGAGACCATCAAATAAATTTTTTAAAGTCTATCTTATTTTATATTATAAAATTTAGTATTATCAGAACCAGACTGGACCGATAAACTAGACCCTCAACCGGTCTGGTTTACTCAAAAGACCGCTTAAATAATTGAACCGCTAAAAATCCATTAAACCAGTTGATTTTGGCCAAAATCGGTGAACCATATGAATTTTTCAAACCAGCTGGTTCAATGCAATAAAAACTTATTGGGGAAATTTTGCCCTCAGATCAGACCTCTTTGTCTTCGTCTTCTTCAGCGATTCTCCTCTCAATCGAACTCCTTCTCTCAGCGGCCAGTGGACACACCATTGTCTTCCTTAGTAAGTCTTTTTCTTCTTCTCTCTCTCCCCTCCTACACGCACAGACACATAACGATATGGGGTAATAGCGTAATACACACATAGATCTTAAGTTCTTCTCCTATCTCTCTCTCTCTCCACGCACCCAGTCATCGAGCTAATGTACACACACAATCAACACATACATAAATGCACAGTCAGTAGTCAGTACACCTAACGAGGGTTAGAAAGTAAGAAATTATCAAACACACCCCCCCAATTGAATAAAATCTCTAAATTAGGAATTTTTATTACTACTTTATGAATTTTATTTTTATTGTGATTGTGGATTTTATGATTGGTATGATTGTGATTTTGGTTAAATTATTATGTTTTAGAATATTTTTATTTATTTTTATTAAACCACCGGTCTAACTAGTTGAACCAATGAACTACTGATTCAGTCTCTTAGTCGATTTGATGTCCAATCCAATTCTAATAATATTATTATAGATGATAGATAATCAAACTCGTTCAACTATATATGTTACGCAAAATAAACACTTGCCCACAAAAATATGTCTATGGGAAGGCAAACCTAAAAAATTGCCACTAGGCCCACTATATCAAATTTTCAATTTGGTCCAAAATACTCTCAACTCTCAAGACTGAGGCCTGATTGCCCTTGGGAGTTAGTGATGTTGTTTCTCCTTGTCCATTTCTTTTCGCTGGTCTCCTGGACCATTAAAACGGTCAAAATTAAGAATACGAAGATTAGAGTTCCTTAGACCAAATCAATTACATTAATTACCGATATAGGATAAAATTAGGTATAAAATGAGAAATTAAAAGTTTTGCACACATTTAATAATAGTATAGATAATTAATTGGACCACAGGGTGGGGTGGTCTAATGAGGTGTTGACCGAATTTCGTATTTTGAGATTGGAAGTTCAAGTCTTGAGGTCTACATTGAAGTTCGATGATTAACCGCTATGTTAGTCTAGTTAGATTTATTTTCAAGAGGAATAACGAATGTGATCAGAAGCCTTATAATCCTATTAGCGAGGCCTTATCGAGGTGAGCATTTTTTTTTGCCCCCACCCTATTTTTTATAAACAAAATAATAATAATAATTAGTTGGGCAATGATACATTGATCTTATTTGATGACCTTATCATTCTCCCTTATTAGATTGACAGTGGACCTCCACTATTAGTTGAGACATACTATCAATTTAATAATTATGATTTATCATATTACCAAACTATGAATTAACTAAAATAATACTTGATTAAAAATTACTCTTAGCAAATCTTCCGAGCAAGGACTAAACCAAACCAAACAATCCACAACTTTCAAGAGCACGCAGTACCTAAACAACAACAAAAAAAATCTACCAAAAATTCATCACAAACCATACAAAATAAAACTCAAACAAAACATTGTAAACAATATAACTGTTCAATAGAAAATGCACCCCACACTATAGGCAAATATTTTATCCAAAAAAGTTTTTCCCACAACTATTTTTACTTCAAGAAAAGATAACATAAAGTTAGAAAGAAACAAAGGGAACAAAAGTTACACTTCAAAGTTACTCCTAGCTGAGAAGTTGCGGTGGCATTTCGAACCTAAGTTTTCCCAACTCCATAGTTGTGACCAAGCACCAAGAAACCTGCTCGAGCAATTTTAGAGCAATCTTCACACTTGCGTTATTGTAAATTTCCTCTTCCCCATCCTCCTAAATGATTTTAGCACGATCTTGAGTTTTCTTCTCCTGAAATTGTCTAATAACCAAATAGTAAAATAACAAAACGTAGTAAACCAGTTCAGGAATATAAAATTGTTTAAAAGAGAAATTAAGCAACATCAATATCAAAGACTGATGGTTAAAAATATGACTGCTCGATGCCATTAAATTCATATGCTCATGATTAAGAAAAAGAAAAATCAATTAGTTATTGAAAAACATAATCATAGCCAATTAGTAGAAACCGAATACCACATGAACAAATCAAAGCATTAAAATCCAAATACCATAAAACACTAATAAATATCATAGGTACTATAATCCAAACTCACATTAAACTAAAATTCGTATTTAAACACCAAAAACAAAGTAAATGCTTTCGTTCCAAGTAGCTTGCAAAGACCAATAAATCAGCAATCCAAGTAGCTTTGCGCCACAACTATTAAAAAGAAGTGATAAGAAACATACTAAAGAATGTTACACAAAAATAGTACATCAAAATGCATACATTGGCAGTAGTCGATTAATAATTGGAGAAAAAAAAATGATAATAATAGTGTTGTAAGGTGACGAAGTTTCTGTGCCAATTCAACAAGTTCTAACTTTCAGGCCAGCGGGCCAGCCCCAATCAAAATCTCAGCAACCCTAGTAACCAACAAAGCTAATTCCAAAGAACTGGCGGTAGAAGTCGAGAAAAAAAGAATAAAAAAAAAATTACTATAAGGAAAACACAAAGCCGTCCAACTGACGATATCCTCTTCGTTTTAATTTATTTATATTCTTATTCTTCCATCACCAAATTTTTATGCTGTTATCTTTCTTTAATACAATGGAATATGAGAACATAATTAAGTAGAGGAACACAAAGAGAGAACGAAACCATAAGCTTCATATCCTTTGTCAATATCTAGAAAACAATAGCCAAAATGACAAATTGTAACACTTCAGAAGAAATTTTCTGAACCGACACATTTACGAGGTTGATCTTTTCATTCCTTGTCATATTTCGAAAGAGTGAGATAGGTTATAAAAAAGACAAAAGAAATGAAAATCCCATAAACACAAAGCAAAAATTTTAGGTTTGAAGCAATATTAGATTGGTTTATAAATCAAAGGCTACCACACAATTCAAAATCAAGCTCCTCAACATATCAACCAACATTAATATTGAAGTTATCGACAAAAATGCAACCTCTACTGAACAGTTACACTCTTTAGATTTTAGATAGCTACTTCTTAATTACTAAAAAAAGTTATGTAACTAATAAATCTGGTAAGTGGTAACACAAGTGACAAGTTACCACCAAGTTTATCGAAAAGACAAGTAACTAAATGATGGTGTGAAACAAAAGAACAGTCACAAGGACACTTGTAGAATACATAAGCTTCTAAAACTGATCAAAAGAGTGTAATTGACTGTAAAAGTTGTTTTGCACATAGGAATGAAAAATTTACCTGCAATTGCCTTAGTCTGTGCAGCAACAACAGCCATAGTCGATCTTGATTCTCGCTGCTCAGGGGTCTCCCCAACGCTAGTTATTACCTTCAAACCTCGATCAAGGGCATATGCAACTTTGTCTCCAACAAACTGAAATGAAATTGATTTGCCAGTTGTGATACGTAATCAATGTTCTCATTAGAATCCTTAAAAACAGAGAGTTACTGTGTCATTGACAAAAGATTACCTCATTTGGTTCACCTAACAGAAGCCTCCTTTCAGAATGGCCAATAATGACCCAAGGAATGCTTAGATTGAGAAGCATCTCAGCACTGTGCATGCAAGAGACATTAATTTAAATTTTTGCAATGAAAAATTTTGAGCTGCACAGTACAACGACATGATTACAGATGAATTCCAGAACAAATTCTGCAATCACATGAACCAAAAGAGATACTAAGGCTGAGCAAGAAGTTGAAGAACTGACACCAAGTTAACCCAAATTAAAGCAAACCAGTTGATAACCCCTCAATCAGTAAGATTCTACAGCAATAGTCAAACATTATTCTATGTGGCTAGTCCATCTCGTTTAACTAACAAACTCTTTTTCCTTGGATTGTGCTCTTATTAGCTAGTGAGGAATGTCCAAATGACTACTACTGACATACAATAGAAATAGTGAACCAACTGGCTTTAACCCCAAGGCTGATAGTGCACCATTCACAAAAATGGAACCCATATTTGATCCCCTCAAACCAGAAAAAAGTCACAATTTCACATTTTCATATATTTACAGATGTGCCATACTTCCCAAGAATGTCATACTGATTAGCACGTAATATAAAAGGCCGAATCAAGCCACTCCAAAACTTCAATGTTTAGGCTTGGGCTTGAACAGAAAAGCCAAAACCCAACCTCAATTTTGCTTGGACTTAGGTCAGAGTATCAACAACCCCGAAACATTCATAGAGGTATACTGATTTACTATTTCCATAGCACATGTTTGTTTTGATAGCTGATTAAGGGTATAACTTTATCACAATAGCAATAAAGAAGTGCAAATAAAGAATATACATGAAAAGTGTGCAAGCATATTGCATGAGCATATATCACTCAAGCATCATAACTAAAAACATGAAAATAAAGGGGGAGGGGTATAGAGAGAAATATGTGACTAATATTGTGCAAATTATAAGTCTAAATTTGAAGCATTAATATTTTGTATCCACAAATAATGACCATGGCAAGAATTTGCTGCATGGAAAACACATCCATTTCAAGAATTAATGCATGAGATGAAAACGGGTTCTTATCCCATTTCCTTGAGCCACTCCATCAATGTGTAAACCTCACATGAGTATCAGTGCTTTCAACAACTCATACATCAAAACTTAAATTTTTAAGAATTATTTTTAAATTTTTTGAGAAAATAGTTGTACTATACAATTTTATGTTTGACGCGTCACTTTTTCGATTATTCATTTGGTACATTTGTTGTGGTTAGTTCATGTAGGAGCAATAGTTTTTGGTTGGTTTAGATTCGTAAAAACGTCATATTGTTTACAATTTAATCACATCCATTTCATTTGGTGCCTGATTTTTTGGTCAAGATATGTGTCCATGTTCAGTGCCTGATTTTTTGCGTGCACGATCAATTTTTCATTTTTTTTAAATGGCACAATGCCTTCAGGCACGATTTATTATTTTTCAGTTATGTATACAGGTTGATATTTTCATTGTCTTAGCTCCTATTTTTAGAGCAAGCTCTTCCGAAATAGTCCACAAAAAATATTTTGGGACTATATTAATTTCAATTTCTTTAATTAAAGCAAATTAAAGTAATTTTTTTAAAATTAATTAGTTGGTTTACGTTGCCCCGTGTCTTCAGGCACAGGTTATCCCTAGCCTTGGTGGGAGGCGAGCATGGTTAATTTTTGTCTAATGCAAATAACAAAAAAGTGAAGAGACACATGATAGAATGACAATACCAGCCTCAGAAAGTCTCCATGCTTCCTGTCCTCTGCTTCAATAGCCCTATCCAGAATACTGCCTGCTGTAGCACTGGTGAATGAAGAGTCAATCAGCAAATAATGACGAAATTACACAATTCATCCATCATAAGTTGCATTGGCAAGAAGTTATCCATATTAACATAGAAATAAATCTTTATCTTCAAACACTATGGTTTAAAGCTCTAAAAATTTTGAAGGCACGGTGTAGTCACTAAACTATTGCTTAATGAATCACTTGCAATCATTGGTGAAGTTTTTAAACTAATAAAAAGAGTTCTTCAAGATCAAAAAACAAATAAAAAAGACCCAGAAGATGTCTTTGTAGAAAAACCACTCCATTCACACAAATGTTAAGAATAACCAGGAAAATGTAATTTAAATGCTATGGAAAGGAATAAGTTAGGATGCCATATGATGGTCTATGGACTAATCACCAATTATGATAACTCCACACAAAGATAACATTGTAAAACAACCCAATAAGGAGCAATAGAAAGATCAAGTGTTTGACACAGTGGATTGCTTCGTAAGCCCTGGATTGCACAGAAACACACATACTTTAAGCCACTGTCAGTAATATTGAAGCACTTCAAGAGACTCAAGCACTGAAGTTTGCCTTGAATGAAAGTTGTAACCTTCATTGGCTTAATTTGGGTGGAGTACCGGAATCATGAAATTCATCAAACACCTAAATGGGGAAAAAATCAATTCAATGAAACTCTTTGAGAACTTTTGTCAAACATGTGGTGTGGGATTGAAGCTTTGACAAAGATTTGCAGGGAACCATTTGGCCAAAAAAAGTGAGGGGCAAAGAAGAGGTGGGGGGTTAGGGTGGGGGTGGTGTTGCGTAGAAAGGGCAGAGAAGAGGTGGGGGTAGGATGGGGGGTTAGTGTGTGTTTGAGACAGAGAGATAGACAGAGATGAGGGATACCTGAGAGTGGTTAGCAGTTGCGGCGGTGTGGTGGTGGTGTTGCTGACGAAGTGGCTGTGGTGGTGGCGGTGTCGCTGGGGCGTAACAGAGAGAGAGAGAGTAAGGACTGACGGAGTAAAAAAAAAAAAGAAGAAGAAGAAGCAGCAATGAAACAATGTCATGGCTTCAGAGAAGTCTGATTTTGAAAAAAATAAAAGAGTGAGAGAGAGATGGAGGGGAGGCGACGTCTCTGACAGTTGAGGTGACAAAGAAAGGTCTGATTTTAAAAAATAATTTGAGTGAGAGGGGATGCGTTTGGTAGAAAATAGAAGAAAGGTCGGTAGCATTCAGGTGAAATGATTTGAAACCGTAGAATTGAAATCGCCTATTTTATATTATTGATAAGTTCACCAAATTAGTTAGAAAAAACATTTCTCTAATTATAATTGCTTAAGTTATTAAATTAGGTTTTATGCGATACAAATAATATTTTAATAAATATTTATTGTCATACAACACTAGGGTTGTCAAAATATAACTTGACTCGTTAATATAATTCAAATTTAAAGAGTTTGAGTCTTCATTAAGTCATCCGTTTGATAAACGAGTGAACCTGACATGACATGACATGACACGACACGATTAATAAATGAATCGAGTTTGAATAATGCTAATCAAAAGAAATTCACAAAATAATTCGTATATATATTAGTTAGAGTATCTTTAACAAAACACGTAAAACTTCAAAATAATTAAAATTTTGCTAACTAAAGATAAAAACCATGCTCCATATATAATATGTTCAGATGCTTTAAAATAATTTATTGCTACAGTGATACTGTAAATATAGAGTATCATTATAGTAACTTGTATAAATATTTTATAATTTTTTCTCTCTCCTCCTCTTCTTATTTTTCATCTTTCTTGTCTCACTCTTTTCAACAAAGATACAAAATATGTGAAATAATATTTAAAGAGAAGTAGTTAAAATATAAAAAAATCTGCTGAAGTGTGTATTAAAAAACTAAGTAGTTAAAATAAAAAAAAATATTTTTAAATAGTTAAAATACAAAATATTGTTAGAGATGTTCTTATACATGATTCAAGAGCAAACAAAATGTACACGAAATTAACCATATAACGTAACTCATTAGAGACAAATTAATAAACAAATTAGATATAAGTGAATAATTTTTAACACGAACCTACTAATCCTCGATAAGAATCTGCATTCAAAAATTCAAGGCCAATCAGTGGCTCTACCACCAGCCCTAACCTACTCTTGAAATGCAGAGAATAAAAACCCCCACGCGAGGACCACGACACGGATAAATGTCTAGTTGGTAGTTGCCTCACTTTTCACGCCTTTTATAGAATCGCTTCTCAGTCGTCGAATTCAAGCTGCTACACCTTCTTCGTCTGCTCCAGTGTCGATCTTCAGGTCAGTGAGAGAAATTGCTTAATTCTCTCTATCATTTCTATGTTTTTGTTCTTCAATTCGATTATTTCATCATCGCTAGATTTTGTAGTGATCAGTACTGGGACTATTGCCCTCGTTTGGTTTTCCTAGAAATTGGGGAAAAATGATGTAAAGTGAAATCCTTAATTTCCGTTTAATCTTCGTGGTTTCACCATATATGAAAGGCGAAATTGAAGTTATTGTTTAGTACAATATTGATTTCGTTTCAATTTCACTCGGTATAAATATAGAGCTCTAGAAACGTAGACGGGGAAAATAAGAGAGAGAAAGGTAGAGATAGAGGGAGAAATATGTGTGAATAGATTAATCTTTGGCAGAGGAGATCGAAGAGGATAGGGTTCTGTTGGCTGATGGCACAGCCCATTTTAGGTTAGATTCCATCTCCAACTTAAAAGCAGAAGTATGTAGAGATTGCTTACTTAGAAAACTCAATTTATTCTAAATTGCATCTAAAGAGTTAATATGAGGTGAAGAAGACATGTAAGATGAATTGATTGGAATGCATTCTGTAATAACCATTCCAAACTGGCCATGAGACTGTTGACTAGACTAGAGATCTTAGATAGTGTAAGGGGTAAAATTAAGGATACCTCCTATAAGAATAAAGATTGAATGTTTCTGATAAGAGTGGTTAGAGTGAATTTTGAACTTGATCTTCCGGTCTTTGTTTCCCGGAAAACGAACAAACTGTCCAAGATCGAAGTGCTTCGATCAAAGGCACTCCGCTGCTTAAGTCAGTAATGGAACTGAGACAATTGCAAGAAGATAAGGAGCGTTTAGTGTACCTTTCGCCATGACTCCTTATTCATTTTATAGACCCCCATTTGGCTAGGGTTTCCATGATTTTCGTCTCAAGGTGGGTTACCTTTCTTCCATTTAGCGATTCAGTTTGGGAAACTGCTAAAATCTTTCTTGCAGTTTTCTTGGCTTAGAATCAATCTCATTAGCTTATCTTGGATGCCTAAGTTATGGACGAATCTTTATCTTTCCATCTACTATTTGAAACAACTCAGTCATGACGAGCGTCGAGCTCTTTCATTACTCCCTGACTCCTTGGACAACCCGGTTTGGCCTATTTGACTCAGTGACTCATGCCCTCCCTCACGTGCCTTGTCTTGTCATCCTCACGTGAGCTCATTTAATGTCATAACACGTGTAATAAAGGGAGCCACCCCCTTCATTTGCCTCCAGAAAACGTTTGACAGAAGCCTTTTGTCTGTTAGCCGTTTTATGCCTCCTCATCATCATTGCGCGTACTTTGTGACATCTCTCTCTGTCTTGGTGACATGCTCAGTATTTAAATATTGCCTTTTAGAATTCTCCCTCGTTATAAACGA